AAGAAAAGTGAACCTCAGCACAGGACGAGTCTCCCACTCATTCTTATTGGTCCCTGACTGTCCATACCCTCTTCTTGGGAGAGATTTACTCTCTAAGCTGGGAGCATACATCCACTTCACTGCAAAGGGAGCTACTGTAAAAGGAAAAGATGGAGCTCCACTACAGGTATTAACCTTGCGGCTGGAAGATGAACATCGGTTATATGAGGGACCGATAGCAAGAATTCCTGGTATATCTGATTGGCTAAGTAAAATCCCCTCTGCATGGGCCAAGACAGGAGGCCCAGGACTAGCAATACAACCAGCCTCCAATAGTGGTTACACTAAAACCATTTGCAACTCCGGTTTCAATCAAACAATACCCTATGAGCAAAGAGGCCCGAGAGGGAATCAGGCCTCACATTCAAAGACTTTTGCAAATGGGCATACTTCACCCTTGCCAATCCCCTTGGAACATCCCGCTGCTCCCCGCGAAAAAGCCAGGGACAGATGATTATCGACCAGTTCAAGACTTAAGAGAAGTCAATCAGAGGATAGAGGATATCCATCCCACTGTTCCTAATCCCTATAATCTCCTGAGTTCTTTACCTCCCAGTCACAGGTGGTATACTGTACTTGACCTGAAGGATGCGTTCTTCTGCCTAAGGCTGAGCCCGGTTAGCCAGCCCATCTTTGCTTTTGAATGGAAGGACCTGAAGCTGGAATATTGGGACAACTAACCTGGACGTGACTTCCCCAAGGATTTAAGAACTCCCCTACTCTGTTTGATGAAGCTCTACATCGTAACCTGGCTGACTTTTGGGTAAGAAACCCACAGATTATGCTCCTCCAGCATGTAGATGACCTCTTCTTAGTGGCCAAGACGGAAGCTGACTGCTTACAAGGTATAGAGGCTCTCCTATTGAGACTGGGGGATCTTGGATACCGAGCCTCAGCAAAGAAAGCCCAGATTTGCCTACAGCAGCCAGAAGACTCAGAGAATTTTTGGAAAACACAAGATTCTGTAGACTATGGATACCAGGTTTCGCTGAGATAGTGGCTCCTCTATACCCTTTAACAAAGAATGGGACCCCTTTTGCATAGACAGAAGAACACCGAAGAGCTTTCTGCGAAATGGTGAGTGTAAGGCGGGGGCAGTGGTGGTCGATGGAGAGAAAATAATTTGGGCCCAAGCCCTGCTGGCCAGAACATCAGCCCAATGGGCTGAATTAGAAGCCCTAATACAAGCCCTAAAATTAGCAGAGGGCAAAAAGGTCAACATTTACACTGACAGCCGCTATGCGTTTGCCACGGCTCACATACATGGAGAAATTTACCGGAGACGGGGACTCCTCACCTTGGCTGGTAAGGACATTAAGAACAAAGAAACAATAGTGGCCCTTCTGCAAGCCTTGTATTTGCCTAAAAAGGTCAGCATTATCCATTACCCTGGACATCAGCGAGACCAGGGGCCAATTGCTCAGGGGAATTGGATGGCAGATGAAACTGCCCGTCAGGCAGCAGAAGGTCTTTACACCCATTCGGACCTTGAGGCTGAAATTAAAGCACCAACAAAAGAGGGAGATGCTCTTTTCACCTACACTGAGCAGGATCTGGAACTCGTTCGGGGGCTCAACGCTACTTTGGACCCAGAATCTAAAATATGGAAATATCAGGACCAAATCATACTGCCCCAAAAGGCGGCCCTTGAGTTAATCTCCCAACTCCACCAGTGGACGCACTTAGGACACAAGAAACTAAAGACACTACTAGAAAGGGAAGAACAAATATATTATTTCCCAGACCTCAACCAACTGGTTCAAAAGGTAGTGGGAGATTGTGTCTCATGTTCCCTGGTGAATGCTACCAGATCAAAGGTCCCATCTGGTAAGAGAGAAAGAGGGACATGACCAGGGACTAACTGGGAAATAGATTTTACTGAGGTCCTCCTAGAAAAATATGGTTACAAATATCTTTTAGTGTTCATAGACACTTTCTCAGGGTGGGTTGAAGCTTTCCCCACCCGGAAGGAAACAGCCCAGACGGTGGTGAAGAAACTGATTGAAGACATTTTCCCTCGATTTGGACTGCCTAAGGTAATTGGGTCTGATAATGGCCCAGCCTTCGTCTCCCAGGTAAGTCAGGGAATGGCCAAAGCACTGGGGATCAATTGGAAATTACACTGTGCTTATAGACCCCAAAGTTCAGGACAGGTAGAAAGGATAAATAGAACCATTAAACAGACCTTAACCAAATTAGCTCTAGAGACTGGCACTAAAGACTGGGTGCAGCTCCTACCTCTAGCCCTATTTTGGGCTAGAAATACTCCTGCTATACATGGCCTAACCCCCTACGAAATCCTTTTTGGAGGACCGCCTCCTGGTAACTTTGTCCCCCTTGCCCTCTTCTTTTGATAACCCCAGCTTGAAAACAAGACTGTTAAACCACGATGAAAAGGACCCTACACAGTTCTCCTGACTACGCCCACAACCCTCGAAGTCCTGAACACATAAAACACTTCGACTGGGAATTAGACAACTCCGACTGGGAATTAGTCGCTATCATCCTCATCTCTGTGGCCTTGATAATCCTTGTTGCCATCATCACACTGGTACTCACTGACCTTGCTGCTATGATGCTTCCAGAAAACTCATAGATTTTATGATTAAAATCTTGCCATAAGAAAAGGGGGGAATGATGGAATCAAACTAAAGCCCCCCAGGTTAAAGTGGATTCAAACCAAGTCCCCCAGACCAAAGAAGAATATTCAGAACAAGGAAGTAAGAAGTAAAATAATTCTAACTGCTGAGAAAGAGCTGACCTTTTCATGCTCCATACACAAGCCGGACATCACCCGAAACTTCCCCCCTCCTACTGCTGCCAGTTGCTGCCGGCCCCCTCCCACTGCTGCCGGTTGCTGCTGGCCCCCTCCCACTGCTGCCAGTTGTGGTTTGTGGTTTTTGCCTTTAAAGTCACTGTAAGCTGAGCTCTGGGCTGCTGCTGCTCTCTCCAAGGCAGGAGCCCATCTGTGCAAATGATTAAATCCTCTTGCTTGTTGCATCTCCTGGTCTGAGGACTGAGTTATTGGGGTGCGACCTCCCATGGACGTTGGGTACCCCAGGCTGGGGGTCCAACACATTCTGTATTCTAATAAGATCCCTTTTCTTCACACTCCATTCTCTCAATGATTACAATTCAACCTATAATCAATTCCACAGCTTAGTATATAGGACCAAATGAGTGTTAGTAACAGATTGAATCTATTGGTCCAATCTCATTTAACAGACTAGAGAGTTTACTAACTTACTCAAAGCCATACACAATTAGTGGCAGAGATAGAATTTGAACACAGAATTTGTCTTTTAAAATAATATCAAACTACCATTTCTTTTGCTTTGTGGTCTCATAAAAGACCTGATGAGCCATTGTTTATTATCACTGTCATCTAACCTGAGGATGAAAAAAATACCAGTCCAAGCCAGGCATGGTGACGCACACCTTTAATCCCAGCACTGGGAGGCAGAGGCAGGTGGATCTCTGTGAGTTCAAGGCCAGCCTGGTCTACATAGTGAGTTCCAGGACAGCTGGGGCTACAGGGAGACCCTGTCTCAAAAAGACAAAAAAAAAAAAAAAGAAAAAAGAAAAAAGAAAATACCAGTCCAGAAAAGCAATTTGAGGCAATTTTCTTAGTCTCTTAATAATAAAACCTTAGGCATTTCCAGATGCAGGCAATAAGGCAGTAAGTCCCATGAGAGAAGTGACAACGTCCATGGCTTTTCTTTTTTTTTTAAATGTATTTTATTTATTATTTTTATTTAATGTGTATACATGTATTGCCTGCATGTAGGTAAGTGCACCTGTGTCAAGCAATGCCCATGGAGGACTGAAGAGGCTGTCAGATCCCCTGGAACTGGAGTTACGGACAGTTGTTAGCTGCCATGTGGGTGCTGGGATTCGAACCCAGGTCTTCTGCAAGAACAGCCAATGCTCTTAACCACCACGCCATCTCTCCAGCCCCAGTCCATGGCTTTTCAAACCTGGCAGACTCTACCATCATATTGTACTTACACAGTTCAGTAAATGAAATACAGATACGGGGATTGCTAGAGTTTGGGGGAAGATTTGCTCCAATACTAGCACTATATTTTAAACACTAAGGATCTGGGACATAGCAAGACAAATTTCTTTAATGAATGCAAAAGTGCAGCATGGGCACAGTGGTACATGCCTTTAATCTCAGCAGTAGAGACAGAGAGGCTGGCAGATTTCTGTGAATTCAAAACTAGCGTGGTCTATTTAGTGAGTTGTACACCACCCATTGCTGCATAATGGGATGCTGTCTCAATAAACGAAAGAAAGAGAGAGGGAGGGAGGGAAGGAGAGAGAGAGGGAGAAAGAAATTAGGAAAGAAAGAGGGGAGGAAGGAGGAAGAGTGTAGTGTGTTACAAATTATAACTTTGATCCTCTATAGCTGTGTTTAGGTTTTGTTCTTTTTTTAATGTGAGTATTTTGACTGCATGTATGTAAGTTCACTCGTGTGTGTGATGCTGAAGAAACCAGAAGAGCAAGCCAAATCCCCCAGGTACTCCAGGTTAAGGACGGTTGTGAGCCGTCATATGGGTGCTGGGAACCGAACCCGGGTCCTCTGCAAGAGCAGTCAGTGCTCTTAACCGATGAGCTGTCTCTCCAGTTCCAGGTTCTCATAATCAGTGGTGGAGCTGTTATATTAAGAATATAAGTATCAGAGCCTTTGAAGCTATGGTCCCTTTGGGCATATGCTTGGCCTTATTTGGGATTCACTTTTCTGCTTGGGGTCTCTGAATTGGCTTTGCTGAGGTGGGACAGCAGTCTCAGCCCCATCCCTCTCTTAGATATTTGGCTCTGGCTCTCAAAAAAAAAAAAAAAAAAAAAAAAAAAAAAAAAAAAATGTTAGTGTAGCGCGGAGGGGGGCTGGACCAATGGGGAGTGGCGTTGCTCGCAGTTGCCTAGGTAACAGCCAATGAACAGCGGGAATTGTGCCCAGTGCGGCCGTCAGGGATGGCGGCGTCCAGTGGGGCTGCCGCTGGTGGAGGTGGCGGAGAGGAAGGTGGCCTTGGGGAGCCAGGCGCAGCTGAGGTCCCGGCAGCTGGAGCCCCGCGCGGCGGGGCGTGATCTTAGTCCCGGAGAGGCGGAGCCCAGGTTGGCTCGCAGCGCGGGTAGGAGGAGGTCACGTGAATGTGGTCTGCCAGGTAGGGACCGAGGAGGCCTGCAGGTGGCCCGAGCTGGGGATGCACGACCAAAGGCGGCTGCGGGCGGGGTACCAAACCTCAAGGTCGAAGTCCGGGAGAATACGCGACACCCCTTAGCGAGGGGCTGTGTCTGAAGGGAATGCCAGACCTGTGGGAGCTGGAGAACATGTGGTGCAGCAACAGATCTAGGAGGGAGAGGTGCGGCTGTAATGCAAGAATGCGGCGGGAGACTGGTTGCCTTCTGGAAGTATAGAGCTTTGTAGATCTCCGCCACACTCTATAGTAGAGAAGTCCCGCGTACCCAGGTTTGGAGAATGGGTTGCCTCAGTTACATGATGGATGTAATCTCTGCAATCCAGCATCCCTGAACCGTTTTAGGTACCAAACAGAATAACTCCGCTGTATGAGAACCAGCATTCTCCTTTCCCTTGGCATAGAATAGTGTTCTGATAATATTATTCCCTAATTGTCATCACTCTCAAGACGTCATCTTCCTTTAAAAAAAAAAAAACCTTCTTTTTGGAGCCAGTGTTTTTTTCTTACCTTCTTTAATCTAGCCATCCCGCAGTCTTCCCTAAATAGGATAGTAGTAAATTACATGTTTACTTTGCAAATTGAAGAAAGGGGATTATAATTATAATTTTTTTTTGTTTGGTTGGGTTGTTTTGTTTTTTTTTTTTGTTTTGTTTTTGGTCTTTCTGAGACAGGGTCTCCCTGTAGTCCCAGCTGTCCTGGAACTCACTATGTAGACCAGGCTGGCCTTGAACTCACAGAAATCCACCTGCCTCTGCCTCCCAAGTGCTGGAATTAAAGGCATGCGCCACCACAGCCGGCTAGAATTATAATTTTAAAAACCTAATTATGGAGGCAGAGGCAGGCAGATCTTTGTGAGTTCGAGGCCAGCCTGGACTGCATAGCAAGTTCCAGGCCAGCTGGGACTGCAGGGAGACCCTGTCTCAAAAAGATGGAAAAAACCTCAAATTATGGGCTGGAGAAATGGCTTAGCAGTTAGGAGCACTGTCTGCTCTTGCAGAGGACCCAATCAGATTTGGTTCCCAGCACCCACCCACCCACACGGAGGCTAACAAGTGTCAGTAACTCCAGTTCCAGGGGATCCGTCGCCCTCTTCTGACCGCCATGGCCATTGCACAAAACGGGTGCACTTACATACATGCAGGCAAAACACTCATACACATAAAATAAAATAATCATTTTCTTTTTGTCTTTTTGAGACAGGGTCTCCCTGTAGCCCCAGCTGTCCTGGAACTCACTATGTAGGCCAGGCTGGCCTCAAACCCACAAGGATCTTCCTGCCTCTGCCTCCGAGTGTTGGGACTAAAGGCCTGCGTCACCACACCTGGCAAAATAATAAATATGTATATATTTTTTGGTCTTTTTGAGACAGGGTCTCCCTGTAGCCTGAGCTGTCCTGGAACTCACTATGTAGACCAGGCTGGCCTTGAACTCACAAAGAGCCGCCTGTCTCTGCCTCCCAAGTGCTGGGACTACAGGCGTGCGCCACCATGCCCGGCAATAATAAATATTTTTAAAAGCTAATTATTTCATTCTCATTTAAAAACATGTTTAAAAAGAATATTCTGGAGGTAGAGGTTGATGAATCTCTGTGAGTTCAAGGCCAGCCTGGTCTACATAGTGAGAGGGTGAGTTCCAGTTCAGCCGGGGCTACCTGGAGACCATCTCAAAAAGATAAAAAATAAAAAAATAAAAAAATCCTAGCCGGGCCAGCACTCGGGAGGCAGAGGCAGGCAGATCTCTGTGAGTTCAAGGCCAGCCTGGTCTACATAGTGGTTCTAGGACAGCTGGGGCTACAGGGAGACCCTGTCTCAAAAAGACAAACAAACAAACAAAAAACCTAATCTTTCTTCATCAAAGCCTTCTTTTTTTTCTCAGGAGATTATAAAACCCAAGATTGCTCTTTTTTTTCTTACAACTGAAAGACCATTTATAAGATTGTATAACCTGAGATGGGTGGCTTTAGGTGAAAATTTGAAGATATTTGTGGATAGTTAAGATGTCTGCCTCCAAAGAAACTCTCTAACTGAAAAATATTCTCCTTATGTGTGTCACTTTTTGTTTTTTATTTATTTATTTATTTATTTATTTATTTATTTATTTATTT